CATAAAAAGGAGTGAAATAATGTCTTTTGCAGCAACTTGGATGGAACCAGAGACCATTATCCTAAGTGAATTATCTCAGGAATGAAATAACAAACACCACATATGAGACAAACAAACACCACTTATATGTGGGAGCTAAATGAGGAATGTATATGGTCATAGAGTGGTGTAATGGACATTGGAAACTAAGAAGGGGGAGGATGGGAAGGAGGATGAGGGATAAAAATCTACCCATTGGGTACAACGTACACTATTCTGGTGATGGGCACACTAAAAGCCCTGACTTTAGCATTATACAATTCATCCTCCTACCTCAGCCTCCCAAAGTGCTGGGATTACACGTGTGAGCCACCAGGTCCAGCCCATAATCATTTTGTAAAGTCTTACTCAAGGCTCTTTACCAACAAGGACCAAGTCAGATCCAGCTTCCCCCTGAGAGTGGAGAACTTCGGTTTTCTTTTTGATACTAGTGCCTAACAACTTGCCTGGCACATAGCATGCCTAAGATAAAGGATTGCAGACATGCATGGAAACTTATAGATTCTTTCCACAAATAAAGGCATTCATAGTCATTAAGAGAAGAATCTATATTCCTAATCCTAAGCCCCATCTACTTGCCACCAACCAGCCATCTAAAAATGGGCGACCTGGGTCACAAGAGGAAGCAACTCAGCACCAGTGTGCTGCTGCCACTAGATTCAAAGACTAAAATGACAGGGATCTTCATGGTAGGTCACTGCAGTGTCTTTTGCAAAGAGTAGATTACTTGCACAACTGATGCACCAATCCAATAACAGTCTTAAACACGATCATCTGCAGGGTGGAGAATGAGGAGCCTGTGATGTGGCTGAAAAAGGGTAGTAGTATATAGGAATGATCACCCTAAGGCCAAACTGTGGCACTTTCCCCATCTGCCTCCAGCCCACCCTTCTCCTTTCTGCAGTCTTGTTCCTCATTTCAATCCATCCTGCCTTTTGCCCTGACTCCGAGCTGCTGACTGTTCTTACATGGTCTCCCATTGGAAGAAAAGTGGATATGATAAGAGCATATCGATAAGACTCTAGCATTGTGCTGTCTACACGTGGCTACTTACATTTACATTTAAAGCAATTAAAATTAAATAGAATTTAAAAATCTGGTGCCACAGTCTCACTGGCTACATTTCAAGTGTTCAGTACACACATGTGGCCAGTGGCTAGCATATTAAATAGAGCAGCTCTAGAACATTCTCATCATTGAAGAATCTAGCACTTCAGTGAGCATCCCTATAATGTTCTACTGGGTCGAGTAGCACACTTGTTGAATATGCATGAATAATTAATTAATTTCATTTAATAGAGTAGAACCTTGACACTAATGAGAGATGGCCCAGAAATTTTCAGACTCCCCACCTTTGTGAATGTCTTTATAAATCCATATTTGTAAAAACTGTATTAGAAAAAGGTTAATCACTTCTTCTTCCAAGATTTTGAGGGAAGATTAAATAAACTTTATGTTGATTTATAAAAATTGTTGGTTATGTTCCAAGGAAAGTTAATTCCATAAGTTTGTGCCAATATATTTTATTTGAATGAATTGAACTTCAGAACCTGGAGTAACGTTTTTTTTTTTTTTTTCCCAGCATTCTAATAAAAACAGTTACATGCAAACGCATGTCTTGGCACCAAGTTTCTTGGACCTCCTCCTGAAGATCTTTATATAAGTAAAAGTACTCACCCTTTTTCCTCCAGAAGGGCTCTTTATAATAGACTATACACTTGATGACTGAACCCAAAGGCACACGAGTGATCAGCTGGTTTCTCATCATTGGCAGAGGGGGATTGAAGTGAATCTTCATACCCAAAGTAGGAGGAACAGCGCTAATCACATATTTAGCCTGAAAGAAAAGCAACATGGTTAAACATCATTGGCCTGTTCTTTCTGTTTTTCCCTAATTATTCAACCTCATTCTACCCTTGTCCCCTTTTAATCTCTCCCTAACAGAGAAGTCATAAGGATTTTGTTATACCCCAAATTAGCCCTTATTGTTCCCTAGTTTAAAACCTCCAATGACTTCCCATCACACTTAGAGTCAAAGCCAAATTCCTCACGGTCACCTCCAATCCCATCCATAAAATGAACCCAGTACATCTCTGATCTACCTCCTGTTACACTTCCCCTTCCTCACTTCTGCCATTCTGACCACCTTGCTGTTCCCCGGTCATGTCAGGCTTGCTCCCACCCCAGGGCCTTGGCACTGAATGCTCTATCTACCTGGAATGCTTTTCGCCTGGAGAGCTGCATGGCTCAATCCCTCATCGCCTTCAGTTCTCTGCTCAAATACCACCTTCTCAGTGAGGCCTTCCCTGATGTCCTTATTTCAATTTCATGACCAATCCTCCCACCCCACTTTCTGATACACCCTCCCCCCCTTTCCTGCTTGCTTTTGTCCACACTACTTATCACCATCTGACACACTTTACATTTTAACTACATATTTGATTATGGCCTTTCTCCTTCACTAGAAGGAGACTTATATGAGGGAAGAGAATTGTATCTGTTTTGTTCACTGCTGTGTTCCCAACTCCCAGAATAATGTCAGGCACATAGGAGGTGCTTGGTATTTATTAAATAAATATTTCTTGTGGTTTCCTAAAAACATAAGCTCCCAATACAGAGAATTGATAATACCTATAAATATTTTTGTAAATCCCCTGCCCCCAAATATTCTGGTTCTCTTTTCCTTTCTTTTCAGATAGAGGTAGCTTTTTCACTTTTGGCAAAGGGACTGTCTAAGAATTCTGTGCTATTCTTGGCTTTATTTAAGCTTTGGTTATCTATGGGACTCTGGCCTCTTCCTCACACTTTAAGGGTCTTGGTTACTTATTCTGAGCAGAAAAAAAAACTAAATTGCTTTTTTTATTCTCTCACTCAACAAGAATCAACAAAAGACTTCGGTGACCAAATGTGTGGGGGCTTTTCCCCACGCACCAAGCAAGCAACCAATTCTGCAGTGAACACAAGCTGGGTGTTCTCTGATTCAATTCAGACATTATCTACCTGGAGATAGTGTCACATCCCACAGGTTGAGGACTCAGTACCACAACTGTCTCCACTTCAGACACCAGTCATAAGTCTGGGCTTCCAGAACTTCTGATCAACTGGTTTCAAGTTGGGGTTCCTAAGAGCCCTCTCTTTGGGTTCAATTAATTCACTAGAGCAGCTCACAGAACTCAGGGAAACACATTTACTGGTTTACTATAAAGGATATAACAAAGGATACAGATGAAGTGAGGCATAGGGTGAGGCATGGGGGAAGGAGTGTGGAGCTCCCAAGCCTTCCCTGAGGCACCACCCTCCAAGAACCTCCCAGTGTTCAGCTACTGGGAAGCTCGCCAAACCCAGTCCTTTTGGGTTTTATGGAGGCTTCAGTATGTAGGCATAACTGATTAAACCACTAGCCACTGGTGATCAACTCAACCTGGAGGTTGGGAGTTGGGGCTTAAAGTCCCAGCACTTTAATCCTGCCTGGGTCTTTTCAGTGACCAGCCCCCATCCTGAAGTTGCCTAGGAGTTGCCAGCCATCAGTCATCATTAGCATACAAGGGACATCACTTTAGAGATTCTAAGGTTTCAGGAGCTGTATGCCAGGAAACTGGGACAAAGAGCAAATCTATATTTCACAATAACACAGTTACCTCATATATCTCATGGTTTAGGGTCTTCATAAGGACATTTTCTCCTGTGTGGTCAATGCTGATCACAGGCCTCTCCAGCTTCACTTGGTCCCCGAGAAGCTCCATGATCCGCTCGCTCACTTGACCAGATCCACCCACAAATTTCCTCTCCTGGAAAGCAAAAAATGGACTCAAGAGGTGGGTGGGAAATACAGGAATAGGCATAAATTGTTAAATTGCTAGTTTTCCTCACATATCCTTATCCCGAGATGTAAAACGTCTCCTTTCATTGCTGTGAATGGTATTTTCTAACTAGGTCTTCTTCTCCTCCTTCTTCCTGGACCTATTTGAAATAGTCTTTTAAAAATTTACTGAACTGAAAATTGGGGAGGAGGCAGTCAGCTCAGCTGTGTGAAAATAACAGCTTACCATTGTTTTCTAACTAGGAATTGCTGGTTTCGGACAAAATCGCAGGTCACCTTCCAGGTTGTTCTCTTGTGGATTCCCAGGCTCTAACCTCAGCTGGACATCTTTAGAATGACCCCCAGGTCTCACCTGTCTGGTCACCATCCTTGCTCTATGTTCCATCTGCATTCTGTTGTTGAGCTGCTGGACCTGGTGAAGCTCTTCCTAAAGCTCTGCTTGTCTGAGCATGCATAAGCCTGTATTTTCCTGCCTTGTGACACAGGCTCAGAACCTCCCAGCCTCTCACCACGCCCCCTCACCTGCCTCCCACCATGCCCTCTCGCCCCAGGCTAGCCTACTCCCTGTTGCAGGTTGCCGGTCTCATCCCCATCCCGGGTCTGGTGCCTGGTGCTTCTGTGGTCACCAAGGTCATTTCAACTTACTGCACCCACCTACCCTGAGCTCTGCTAAAGCTTCCAAATGTTCTACCTGGGGTTGTGCACACAGCTGAGCTGACTGCCTCCTCAATTTTCAATTCAGTTAATTTTTTAAAAGACTATTTCAAATAGGTCCAGGAAGAAGAAGGAGAGAAGAAGAGGAGGAGGAGGAGAAAAAGGAGGGAGAGGAAGAGGGAAGGAGGGGAAGGAGGAAGAAAGCAACATGACAACCAAGCAGATTATCTAAGAACTCTAGTCCCCTTCCTACTGTGACTGGCACAGTGCCTTATACAATGCTGGGGTTCAGGAAATAGGCACTGAATGAATGAATGAATGAATTCCCCATGTGGTGTGTGCTTTCAATTGAAAATGCATTTCTGACTTTCCTTTTTGAGGTTTCCAAGAAGTGCTCAAGCTATGTTCATCAGATGGTCTCCCACAAACTTACCTAATAATAATCGGACATACATCCAAATGGAAAATGGCAAAAGCACATAGAGACAAGCCTAGTTTTAAAATTACATTGGCCACTGGATTCTCACACTGAGTACCTGAGAACAAAATTGTGCCTTACCAAAGCCACTTCGAGCTGCCATGATAAAGCTCTAAAAATCATAAGTCTGCCTCCTGCGTCAGTAGCTCATGATTGAAGGACAATGCTAATCTTTCATTTCGGTAATGGTGGTTTTCTGCTGGGACAGTGAGGGAGTGGATGGGTACCTGCCCTCCATTGGTTGTTGAGATGATTCTGGTCGTGCCTCCACACTGCTTCACGTACCACAGGAACCAGAGAGCGGAGACTTCATGGGTCTCTGCAGTGACACACAGGTTCACAAAGAGAGTGGCAAGCTGCTTCGCAGACCTGCTTGGGAAGAAACAAGAGCAGAACTGGCAAATGCAGAAGACAATCTTCTTAATTCTCTAGAAATTATTCAAATAATACAATTTCTTGGCAACATTTAGCACAAGTTGGCAAGTAACAGAAAATGATCACTAGAATCTGATATTATAAAACAGAACATTAGAGATTTTGGAAATATCAGATTTATTTTCCCCTTAAACAAAACACCTTACTCAGAATCGCTTTCTATTCCATATTCTGTGCTGTCACGATTCCTCCCCACACATCTGTTGCTCTTCCGGTGATCCCCATCTCAGTAAAAGCCATCACTATTCACTCAATGGCTAAAACCAACACTTTAGAAATTGAACTTAATTTCTCTCTTTCCATCACCCTCTCCCATCTAATCAATAAAGACTTTCCGTTATCTCTCAACATACCACATAACTCCACCATCATCACCACCAACTAGCGTCATCTCTTGCCAGGAGTACTGCAATTACTGGCCTCTCTGCCTCCACTCGTTCTCACCTGGTATCTATTCACCACACTCAAAGCCAAATACTTTTTACCTCCCTCCCCACCATGGTGTTCTTTCTAAAGCGTAAATCAAGTCATGCCATTTTCTTCCTTAAAACCCTTCAGTAGCATCCTATCAAAACAAGAATAAGATTCAGATCTTTCACTGTGGCTTCCAAAGCCCTAAGTGATCTAGCCCATGCCTACCTTTCCTATCTCATCTTGTATCCTCTTCTACTTACTCTAATGCTTCCTCAGAAAGATACACTCTATTTCAGCTATAAAAATGAGCACTGGCTTCCATATTCCCAGCACGCTGGCATTCTCTGTCATTTTGTCATTGTATAATATCTTTAGAACATTTTTCGCTGTTTGAAATTATCTTGATTCTTGGTTTATTATTTTTGTATTGCTGCATTCCCCACTGGAATATCAACTTATGAGAACAAGGACTTATCTTTCTCACTTACCATAGTGTCCCCTATAACAAAAATAGTGCCTGGCACATAGTAAGCACTCAATAATTATTTGTTGAATAATTGAATGACTGACTGAATGATGAGAAATATCAGTTAAACATTATTTTTAAAATATCCATAATGTGTAAAGGATATGCTAGTGCTGTACCAAACACAAAATTAGTCATAGTTATCTATTCAGTTATTTTACTGCCTAATGGGAGGCAAGCTCAAAGGATGGATGAGGGGGAAAGTGATTAATAGAGCATGGATGGGCAAACTTTTCCTTGGAGTTGGCAGGTAAATGGCAAGAGGTTATATCCTATCAGGAGGCACACCAGAAAGTGAACAATGTCATGCAATTCCAAGGACCCAGTTATATCTAGAGCACACCCTAAAATTCACCAGTAGTGATGTGCACTCCAGGATATCTTTGATGAGGCCAAATCTCCCTTTTAACTTTGACATAAAGTTTGCATATTGTTAATCTGGTTACATCTGAGGCAGAATTTTCCACCCGGTAGTGCAGACAATGGGTGGAATAAATGATACCGTCATCCATTTATTGAACTCTTTCCACACTCTATGGTCTTTAAACTTATCTTGTTGAATTGCCATAACAACCCTATTAAATAGCCATAATTTTTCCTGAGTTCACAAGCTAGACAACTGAGTCTCAGAGAGTTTAGTACTACTCAATGGTACAACTTCAAACCAGATCATACCTGACTCAAATTTATGCTTTTAATACCTCAAAATGTTTTGTAATTTGCCAGCTGACAGCCTTAAAATGGAAATATTCACCAAGGGGCATATCACTACTCTAGTATATCTTGATCCTGGAAGTTTGTAGAATCATGCCTAACACACTTACCAGTTATTGACATTGTTTGAAGCCATAACCACCTGACAGCACTTTTGTGACAGTCCCCATCATTACAGCCTGCAAAATGGTGTCATATATACATTGAAGTAACTTCAAATTAGCTTTGTAAGATTACTTATGATAACTAAAGACATGGAAATTGCTGACTCATGCCTTCCCTGTGGAGGCAATTTGTGGTATCTATCTAAAGCAAATATCCAGACATCAGTTTAAAATATTACTTCAAAGTGAAAACATCCTTTGCTGTTTCCTGATATCCTATTTCTTTTGTTCTTTATTTTATAGGTGAATTCAGGGGCATAAGGCAAAGTAATAAATAGCTAAAACTTAACATTGGCCCAGCTAGATGGCCAATATTAAACATTAAAATATCACTGAAATTCTAGTTGTTATTGTTGCCAATTTGGTAGGAAAGAAATAATCCTAGTTTGAAATTAAGGGAGATCTAAAAGTACTTCTCTCTGAAGGGCCCGTCCATTCCTAATCCTTTATTTGATTTACTCTGGGAGCTTCAGTAAGAAAAGAAATGAGAAGAACAATATTTGAGGGACAGAAGGTCAAGGAAGTTAGTGTAATAATATTTCTGTATTTTTTTTGCCCCGTTGACTTTTTAAAAGATAAATGTTATAACATTTTTCTACATGAAAAATATATACACATTTATATAAAATTTGGAAAATTCATAAGATAAAAAGGTGAAAGAATGAGTATCTTCTGTATTTCCGCCCCCCCAAAAGGATAATCATTAATCTCATTTTGATGCATTTTTTTCTAGGTATAGGTTTTTTTAAAAAAATGTATTTACATAGCTGTGGCCACACTGGAAATATAATTTGTTTTTCTGAGGAGCACCTTATACATGACAGTAACTGAAAGAATGATTAACATTAGTCTTTGAATGTATTAATATAATTAGGCTTTAGTTTGAATAACAGTAGGTTGGATATTCTGGGGATGACTTCCTTTAAAACCAGGAAATGGTACCATATGTGTCTTGCTTAGGAAAAGTTAGAAAGTTACCTTGTGTTTGTATTCTCCTAATATCTCAGAATGCCTTATTTTGTCAGACGACAACCTAGATTATTCACTAAGTGGAGGACTAGGCCAAGGGCCAGGATAGAAAATATCAGGTCTCTACAATCCCAAAGATATATAATTGGTCCTATCTTTAAGAAACTTAAAAGCTCTCTGGGCAGAAAAGATCTAACTAAATTTACTAAAACCTTTTCATAACAGAAGTTATAAAACAAATGCAGATAATTATAGGTTCACTATATTTTGAAAGTCTGAAGTATAGAATTTAAAAATAAATACTATAATTTTATTACAACCAAAATAAGTTATATTGCAAACTACACTCTCATAAGAAGTGTTAAATAGCATTAGATAAATGTTGAAAAGGATATCATTAATAATAGGCATGGATTTTTATGACATAAGAGGATTTTACTATTTTATCATTAGTTGCTTTCAACAGTTTAAGACATAGGAGAAGCACAAAGATGTTTAGTACAGGCTGGGAGCAGTGGCTCATGCCTGTAATCCTAGCAATCTGGGAGGCTGAGGAGGGAAGATTGCTTGAGCTCAGGAGTTCAAGACCAGCCAGAGCAAGAGACCAGCTAAATAGAAAAAAATTAGCCGGGCGTAGTGGTGCAGCTACTCGGGAGGCTGAGGCAGGAGGATTGCTTGAGCCCAGGAGTTTGAGGTTGCTGTGAGCTAGGCTGAAGCCATGGCACTCTAGCCCCAGGCAACAGAGCGAGACTCTGTCTCAAAAAAAAAAAAGAAGATGTTTATTACAGAATACTATATAATAATAATAATAATAATGAAAAACTGGAGGTAACCAAAATGTCCAACAGGATGATAATGGATAAATAGCTTATGGTATTCATTTTCCATGGAATATTCTGCAACCATAAAATATGATATTTAAAGAAGAATTTTTAATGATGTAATGTTTTTAAACATTTTAAAAATAAATGTTTGCATGGTCATATTAAATGTTAAAAACATTTTGATGGATGTCCATTGCTTTTGCAGTGCATATATAAATAGTTTTGTTTTTAGAAATGAGATCATATATCACACTGTATATAATTCATGACAGCCTGCTTTTCTGTGTGTTTAATAATACTACTTTTTCAAGCCATTAAATATTTCTCTATGACATGATTTTAAAAGACTCTAGAGTATTCCATTTTTCAGATGTCCCATACTTAGTTTAGCCAATCTATTATTAGACATTTAGATTTTCCCTTTTAAAAATAACGGTTGGAATGTGCCTCTCTCACTCTCTCTCCCTCCCTGTATGCCTCTCTCTCTTTTCTTTTCAATTGCCTTCTTTAAGATAAATTCTAAGAAGCTGAATTTCTATATCAAGAAGTATATAAATTTTAGGTCTTTTGATTGTTTCTACTTCTTAGATTCAGTGAAAACACTTGTTTTCCCTTTCAGTTGGCAGTGCCCTAGCTCCCCTCCCCAGTGTCTAGAGCATGAAGACATCAACCCCAGGGCCAAACACATTCCCAGCTAACACTGTTTAACACGAGAGGAGAGTCTCCTTGAACATGGCTTTCATTTCTCTTACTTTGTTTACATTTTCCGTGTGCTTGAATTGGAACCCCTACAATCCTTTCCATTTTCCCTGCTGTCCAAGAGCAGTGTGGCCTTTCCATGTGCTCTATCTACACAGCCTTCACAATTTCTGTACAGTCCTCAGTTCTGCCAACAAGAATTGAATGCTTAATAGATAAATGCTTGCTTCCAATACCACATCTTTTTCACTAAAGGGGAGCAGTCACTCCATGCATACATATTTCCCTTATCATAAGGGGAATGTCTCTAGAAGCTCCTCATTAAATTCTTAAAGAGCTGCACTACATCACATAAGGTATGTGCATGCTGACCATCTCTATGTATGACCACCAGTGAGGAATACAAAAGTAGTCCTACATCAACAACTTGATAACTGAGATTTTTAAGCTTATGGTCTTTAAGCTGTTCTGGGTAAAGGAGGTGACACATTCTGGTCTGTTTTGAGGACACTATGGGGTAGTATCACCTTTGTGATGCAAAACTATTTTAAAGAAGTAAGTTGGGTGTATAGACATCTTTAGGATAGGAGCCAGTTCCAATATTTTTCAGCATTCCACTTGGCCAGTGGCATGGTTTTAGATATAAAGCAGCTACTTGTCCCATACCTGTTGAATGGTATTGCTAAATAAACCTGAAAGATGTTCACAATAAATGCCTGTGCCTAGTGGTGAGTCTTACTTAGTCCAGCAGATCTTGTCCAGCAGCTCCTTCATGGTCATGCGGTCCCACTCTTCTGCAAGGGGCGCCTTCCATGGGGCATCACTGGGAATCTACATTTAGACGGAGATTTGAAGGAGAAACACAAATGTAACTTTCCATTTTAAATAACTATTCAAATAGTGTTAAAAACTCTAACTTGAAGACAATTCCCCCAATAGTTACTTTTACTGCATAATCAATGCTATCTGTGTAGCTTTCCTGTTATAAATCTATACTACTTAAGCCGTATCTAATTTATAACATTTCCTGCACAATAAATGGAAGTATGTAGTAATTGGGCTATTTCCAAATATTGATTACTAAGTTACTAACTTCTAGAGAACATTCATAAATTCAACTCTTTAACAAGGATCAGACAGCTGCATAAAATCATGTCCAAATTGGAGTTTTCAGTTAAGCTTTGTGTATGTTTACTTATGAGCTGCAAGTTTGAGCATGGTGGTGAATCAAAGACCCAGAAGTCTTACTTTGCTATGTCTTGAGGCTTTTCTAAATTAAAAACATTATCCCAAGAAGGCTGAGTGATACATGATTTTTTTGCACCCTCATAAGTAGTATACAAATAGCAGTCTGTTTGACATTTCATTCTTTTAGAGGTTAGAAACAAACTGTTCATTCACTCATTTCACAAATCTTTATTATTTACTAATAATTGTTACCATGTGCTCGACAATATGCTAGGCACTGGTGATATGTTGTACCTTCTTTCTTTTAAGGACTAAACTTATTATGAAAAATACAAATGTAGTCAAAGAAGCTTTAGGAAGCTTTACCTCCTGCCCCATGGCATCCATCATCCTCCAAAGGTTGTTATGATCTAGGTAGACAATTGGATTCCACACAGGTGGGAATGGGCCCCTGAAGGGGTATGATTTGCCCTGTGAGATACAAGATATTTTAAAGAGTAAACATTTTCAACAATGTTAAAGTAGTTAAATCTGCCAAGTTGGTAAATGTCTGCAAGCAAAAATCATGTTAGTTATCAATATGTGATATACATTCAGATCTTTTAGCTCCTTGTGTCCTCAGAACCCTACTTAACTTTTAAGCATAGAGATTTCCAGCGAAATCCTCAGTTAACTAAATAAGTTTGGCATCACATCAAGCACAGTAAGGAGATCTCTCTCTCTCTGAAATTGGAACCCTTACCATGTAAAATCTAAATGCCACTATGGAAGTGCGGTTACCTAAAGTAATCTCATTTGCTAATGATACTTGCAAATTCCTCAGAATCAGGAGCCCCTGTGTGCCTGGAGGGTCAGAAAATGATAACATTCAAAAACTACAAACATTGTACAAGTTAGAAGAGGATGAAAAACCAATCACAAGAATGCAACCATCCACAGAAAGAGCCACAAAACAGGGCCCAACAGGCTTTCCCAAGGACACAGATGTGCTAGGACAACACAGGAGTTACCAGAGATCAGCAAAGTCAGAGCAGGAAGATGAGACAACGTCAAGCCTCTTGTCCAGACATGTTCACACCACCTGGCTCTCCCTGCAGGGACACCTTGACAGAGAGTTAAAGGAAACACATATCTCCAAGGATTAAAAATAGGACATCCCACAAATAAATCATCTTTGGGAGGCTTAACTTGCTGGAGGCAGTTAAGGGACATACACAAAAACCATTTTAGGTCAATTTGAAAATCTGAGTCAGAAGCCAAGCTGTGCATTCTGACAGTATCTTTCAACAGAATCAGAGTAACTCAAGATTCTCAGTCAACCAAAAACCTCACAATAACTCTAAATCATTCAACAAAGATGCATCTTGTGTTTGTGTTGTAGGCACAGTAATTAGAGTTGTGACATAAGAAGAGATTTCATGTTCATTTTGCATTAATTCTGTGGCCATGTTGGTCTTTGCTCTCCAACAAGGCCTTAAGAGTCTCAGGGAAGAGTTGAGACACAGGCTTACCTTTCTTCTAGTGAGTTCTCTAGAGAGACAGAACCAAGGGAAAAAAAATAATACACACACACACAGAGAGAGAGAGAGAAAGAGAGAGATTGAGAGAGTAGATGAAGGATTCAAATTTATTTTAAGAAATTAGTTTATGTGGTTGAGGAGTCTGGCAAGTTCAAAATCTACAAGATAGGCTGGAGACCCAGGGAAGAGTTGCAGTTCAACTTCAAATGCACTCTGCTGGCAGAATTCCCCCTTCTCCTGGGGAGGTCGGTCTTTTTCTATCAAGGCCTTCAGCTGACTGGATGAGGCCCATGCACATCATGGGGCGTAATCTGCTTTACTCGAAGTCTACCGACTTATATTAATATATTAACCTCATCTAAAAATATCTTCATTGAATAATGTCTGACCAAATATCTAAGTACCACGGCTTAGCCAAATTGAAACATAAAATTAACCATCACAGTTCTTAGTCAACTTTATTGAGGTGTAATTTACCTACAATGTACCCAGTTTAGTTTAGTTTATTTAGTTTTCTTTAATTTTTTCTTAT